ATTGTTTGTTGTGTGTGTGTGTGTGTGTGTGTGTGTGTGTGTGTGTGTGTGTGTGTGTGTGTATAGTGTAGGTTTTTTGAAGATGATTATCGTAGTTATAGTGGTCATAGAGTTCTTTTGTAAACGAAGCAACATACTATTTCCCAAGCCTGTGTGTACCATGTCTTTCTATGAAAATACGGATAGTAGAATTCGGCAAAAGAGGAGAGAGAATGTCCCCAGTCTGGGGAGTCTGGACGCGAAAGGTTGTTTTCTTCCCTCCGATGCTCGGCGATCAAAACATCAAAACGGCCCAAATTCCTTCAACTAAATTATTCTTCTATACAGCCAGCGTTGTTGTTTTAACCTAGATATAACCATAGCAAGACTTCGCCTGCCCTTAAAAGTGTGCAATCACCAAAAGCCCACTACAGCAACGTACGGACCTCGAACGACGCCTACTAAGTTCCGAACTTGATCTTCCTATCGTCAACGATAACTTGCTCACAAAAAATCGTGAACATCCATTTGCAGATTCTCGAATTATCCTGCTAAAAACAATAACGACCAACACAAAAGATCAAATTCAATGACGTGGGAACCCCCACAAGGCCCATTTCTGAACTTGACCTTCGTAATCTCAACGGTGACTTGCCAACTAATATTATAGACAACCATTTAAGGATTCCCGAGTTATATTGACATTATAAACAAAAACACAAACACAAAAGGTCAACTCCATTCACGTAAGAACATCCCACGAAGCCCATTTTTGGCCTTGACAATGCCCATTACTAAGACAACCTGCCTGCCAAAAATCATGAACCTCGGACCATGCCTTCAAAATTTATCGTGCATAATCTGCCAAACAGTGCCAAAACGATTTTATAGCCTTCTGATGAAGGCAATAACAAAATGTTACAAAGGATCAATTTAAGTTACAAACATGATTATGAATAAAGAAAAGAAAAAAAACAGCGTAAGAGAAGAATATTTAATGACTATTAAATTTGTGTTCAGCTGTACTGTGACGAAAAAGCTTGACGTATGGGTGCGCATGACGTAACAGCCTACGTATACTACCCAACATACAGTCACCATGGTAACGACCCTCCAGTGGTTGAACCAGTTTTGTTCCCGCGCTGACTCGTTCGGTGTGGCGCTTTCTACTCCGGGATTTTTCATTTTGTCGAGGCGGTTTTCTGACCAGTGCACCCAACAACGGTACGTAAATATTATATATTCCAAAATCATATCCAGCTGCTTGTGTAACTGCTTTTTGGCGTATCGTAATACCTGGTGTTCTAACCTTCATCGACGTATCTTTTCGAGAATATCTTGCACATTGGAATGATACAGACACAGCTGTATTTCCCACTAGGACGGTATGACTGGGACGACACACGTTTTGAACAGATGCATTTCCCCTAATAACTGAATTTCCCCTGTTTCATCGGAATAACACAGTAACAAAGGCTAAACGAAAACATTTGGTCCTCTTTTCTTATAAAAGTAGGTCATTTGAAGATCGATTTTGTTTTGATCGAAAACTACATAAAACTATGACATAGCCCGCGGCGAGGACGAAAAGACAAAGCATGTTGGTGACGCGACGGCACAAAACTGGGCCAGGGAACGAAGCAAGCCTTCTTGGAAAGGCTGATGTAGGACCCATCCAAGTGCCATGTGCGTACATTTGCGATAGCAAATTCTTGTCAAGCGTAATTTTTCTTGTAAGAAAGGGAACACATATCCTTCAAACTTTTGAATGAGCCTGCATGAGCGGTTTCACCTCCGTGTTGTGTTTAAGTTCTTCTTTGGAGTAAAGTGTTTTGTAAAACCAATGTGATAATTTCATACCTTCCATGGTTGAAATGTATCGAATTTCTGTTTTGCTTTTCTCGATGATCTATCCACTCTGTTTTGATTTTCATCCCTTTGGCACAGTCGTTCTGTAGGCCGGTTCGTTCCCGAGTATGTCCCCCCCCCTTTCATGGCCGAAGTTCTAGCCCTTTTCCTGTTTAAGCAGCCCTTGCTAACATTCTAAAATGACTTGCTTTGCGCTATGTATCTCGGGATACCAATATGGTGGCGTCATAGAAAAAAAAACGCAAAAATGAGTACTTACTTGTCTTCATTTAAACATTTTCTATGAGTTCTAAGATGTTTCAGGAACTCGGTATAAGGCGCCGTATGTAATTGACACGGGCCGAAGTAAACTTCGCGTAGGCTGTGAACTGAGAAATTTCGGGGAATAATACAAATTACTTCTACAATTGTAATGAGTCATTTTTGTGCAGATATATGACACCAGTGGCTGACGCCTAAAATCGTTCGGACAGCGACCGACAGCCGGAATCTAGAATGAATCCCATTTGGAAAGAACCTGGTGCTCTAGTCTTGTGCTTACTACTGGTCTTTATCATTACGGTAAATATATTTCACTTAACCTAAGTAATGTACCTATATCGAATTGATATCGAATTGATGTATAAAGCACAATAGTTAGATAGACTTAAATTCTCGTAAACACCAAAACTCAATTCGAATATTTGCCGTTGTTTTTCAAGTATGTGAACGTGACAAATCTTAACGTGTCTGTCCACAGAGCAACATGACGTTTTACAACAGCCGTTCCGTTCCGAAGAGAAAGATAAAGGGATCGGTAAAAGGAAACAGGCCACCCTCAGCCAAAAGACCAGCGGCTTCCAGCTGGAAACCACGTGTTTGTTTGATGCCAAGACAAAAATTCGTTTTCATAAAAACGCACAAAACTGGGAGTATGACCAGTGTACTCCCGTTCCAAAGATACGCCATCTATCACAACCTCACGGGGCTGGTGGCTAAAGCGGGGGGTTACGTCTCCTGGCCAATCCCTCCAGGTGAAACAGATTATATCCACACCCCGGATGAACATTATGACGTGCTGTTCAACCACATGGTCTACAACAAAACGTGGCTACGGTCCAAGTTTCCCGCGAACACAGTGTACATCTGTAAGTATCTTTCATTTTCCCTTCAATAAGTTTCCACCACATCAAAATATTGGTGGTCATCTCCGGTGTGAGTGGTTCAAACCTAACATTCTTGTGTACTTTTACGTTGTGTTTCACCTAGAGGGGGTTTACCGGTAAAGCGAAACAAACAAACAAATAATTCAACAATATTCAGATCTGGCTTTTTATGGCCATGCCGAGACCAAGGCGTATGAAGTTAAATTTCATGTTTGATAACAATAAGGCAGTATAAACAGCTAGCCATATAGTTAACAAGAATTCCACAACTTGACCTAGGGTCACAATGTTTTTATTGTTCTGAGTCAACAAGTTGAGTTTATTTTAAATGGCAGCAGAAAACTCAAGCAAACATATTACCTGGAAGAAAAATTGACCCCACTGCACCATCCATAAAATTGCCAAATTTATTTGAGGAAATGTCATCGAGTTTGATAGTTCTAGTTTTAACTTTTCAGACATTCTACAACAAGAAAGTGGCCGTAGGTCTCAAAACACCGCCCATACCCATATGACTGTTGCCATGGTTAGATTTTCTTACCACTTGAAAAAAAGCTCTAGATTTCGTTTTCTTCACTGTATATCCCTGCTGTGGATGCTTTTTTCACCTATAATGCAGTGGTCGTGATTCTTTCACAATCAAAACCAAAATGGCAGTTGAAAATAGCTGGAATTCTTGCGACAATAAGAAAATATAGAAAATACTTCACCCAAAACATCTTAAAACAGTAATCCAAAGCCTTGGGCTATCACATCTTGACTATTGTTCACCGCTACTTTCATGCACTGCACCACAAACACACCTAGATAAGCTACAAGTGATCCAAAATCGTGCAGCTCGTTTAGCCACAAACGCCGCTTTTGACGCCAGTCTTAACGACAAACTGGCAAACAGTCAACCAGAGACTTTTCACCAGTACTCTTTGTGTATTCCACAAAATTGTAACTAAAGAGCAACCTAACTGTATTTTCAAACACTTGCAGAAAATAGAAACCACACATACACACCATACAAGACTTGCACAAAGAGGGGCGTTTACCCTTGACAAACCCAAAACTAAAGCTAAAACCAGAACATTTGTATATAGAAGCATAAAACATACAACAATCTACCATGCGATATGACATCTGAAAGCGAACGCACATTTAAAGAAAACATCAAAGTATGGAGTAACAAGTACAACCACATGCGTCGCGACACATGATGGTAATATACATGGTGTTAAGCTTTGGTCCCAATTGGAAAAAGTGGCCCTGCCGGGTAGTCCCCGGGCTGTTTTGGGCACTTTCGGGCGTGACCCCTAAGGGGCCCCGTGGGACACCCTGCGGCTATTGGGCAATTTTGGGGCCCGGCAGGGACCCGAGAAGAATTTAATTCTGACTTAAATTCTACTCGGGCCCCGCTGACAAACAGACGCCGTGACCGAGCCGTGAGAACATCGAGAGGTACCCGTCCGGTTGCCGGCAGTCCACCGGGACTAATTTGTCACGTCACAGACCAGATACACATAACAAAGGTGTGTATTTAAGTATGTAAGACCAATTCAAATGTGTGACGTCACAGATCAGATGATCACAACAAAAGCGTGAACTCTGTATTAAGTGGGTCAGTACAAGGCATCGTCAGAGAAGCTGCCGGGTACCTGCCGGGTGCCTGTCGGAGACCGACCAATAAGGGTGACAAAATGCCACTGAAGGAAACTTTTAATTGTGACCACGACAACCGGCGCAATTAGGACCAAAGCTTAAATAGGGACCTTTGACCTCTCCACTGTATTTCATTATGTTATTTAAGCAAGCTTTAATTGTTGTGCATATCAGCAAGTAGGCCTACGTGTAGAGTAATGTTAAGATTGTTATTGTTATACTGCTATTTAAGCTGTTGTTGTTGTATATAACTGTACCTATTAAGTTCATAATTGATTATATTTCATCTTTTAAAGGTAAAGGACTCCAGGAAGACTAGTAATAAACAAACTTTGTATTACTAATGGAGATTCCTAATAAAAATAAACATAAACATAAACATACAGACCTACTTTCGGGGCGATAAGAGAAAATCGCACTGTTTTGTGTTCTTTGATATCTTACCAACCATTGCCCTTCTTGATGTCCTTATCGCCTTTCATTAATGCAGAAAATATTGACGATGAAATAAAACGGCTTTATCTAATTATTTTTCCATAAGCGATGTAAACTAATGAACTGTTCAATTAATATTTACATGCAAATAAGTTGAGAAAAATCTACACACAGGATAAAATTGTCAGCTCACTGCATTAGACATCCTGAATTTCTAGTATCCAAGCTAGAGGTCAAGCAAAGTACAGCACGTAGGTTCTCAATAACCAGCTTATTAGTCTTTTTGTCTCCTATAGTCTTGGCCCAAAATGTTTATGTTGACTTGAAGTGTTTGAGCTGCTTAATCAAAAGTTCCCGGATGTATAAATGTGGTTTAGCATGGGGGAAAATAATACTAATATCGCTTTACAAACATGCGGCGCGCAAATTATGTGAAAAGTCGGCTAGTTATATATTCATTGCAGCATAATCTACCGGAAAATGACACTTCCTTCTGGACTTCAGTACTCCTTTAATGGCCACACGTCCTCCCGTGTTAATAAATACTTTTCTAGCAGGAGAATTTTCTGCTGATAATAAAAAGCGTTGTATAATTGAAATGCGCATTAAGCGAATCTCGAAGAAATGGTCACTAAGGTTTTCTTTAGGTTTTGGCTATGATAAATCAGGCTTAAATAAGTCAATTTCTGTGTATCCAAAAATTATGTGTATTTTTTTTACAATTATAACACAATTAACTAATTACACAAATAATTAGAGTTTGTTGTTGTTGCATGGAATACTAAAGTAACTTGAAGTGGATTAAAATATATTATTTAACTGATATCCCAGTGAAAAGTGAATTTGAAATTATTTGGAAAAACTATATTGTGTTGTAACATGTTTTCCTTCAGATGTTACATCAATAACTCATGTCCATGTCTGTTTAAAAAATTTTAAAGGCATTATCAGTTGCAATTTCTGTAATTTTTTATTTTTCTATGACTGAGCAAAACTGCACACAATTAAAGCTTGTGGGTTTTAACAATATATGGTTGGATTACCCAGGTTTTCTTGTGCGCTGAATCTTAACACGGAAATGCACTTTCTTGCCTTACAAACAGCTCTTATTCGAGAACCTCTTAGTCACCTGAAGTCATGCATGCGCTTCTACAGTCTTCCTCGACTGTTAAACATCACGTCATCTGCAAATCCTGTCAAGACCTTCTTGGAAGATCCATGGAAATACAGAAACCTGTCTGAGGTGTTGTTTCCCTACTGTAATGTAACGTGGGACGGCACCAGGAACCACTTGGCCTTCGACTTAGGATACCCTACACAAGGAGCTGAGGATCTGGTAGCAAATCATTATATACTTTTAATTAACCCTAGATTAAGGTAGGGGAGGGGAGGGGAAGGTACTCACGCCAAATGTGGTGTCCGTCACTTGGTCGCATTTTCAACAAGAAAGGTGTAAAAAATACACCTAGGCGACGAATTGTATATTATGTAAATTAGGGTATTATCAATTTAATTTATTTTTATTATATGTACGAATTGGAATACTTCACTTCATAAGCTACATGTACATATATGTGCCTGGTTATCTACATGTCGGCAATCGACCAATATCGAGTCCCCATTCCTGGCTCGGTGTTTGTTGCTATTGTTTAGATTTAATTCCAATCTTTTATAAATATTTTTAAAGGGATATCTTATGTTTTACAAACATTTCAAACTTGTTC